GAATGACAAGTTTTTTTCTCACATAATCGATTTAATCGTATCGATATCGATAATATGAGGACACGATATGACACTCGGGAACAGGAAACGAAGAAACCATCGAAATCCGATTTTTTTTTTTTTGTTTTGGTGGCAACGCTTTTAAATATTTTATATATCGGGTGTTGTTTGTTGTCTTCGATTGGTATTTTTTATACAAAAAATCGTTTGTTCGTTTGTTTGTTTGTTGAACGTGTGAAACTTTCTCGTTTAAAAAAAAAAAAAATTCAAGACAAAACCAGATTATTTTTGATAAATCAAATCAAACTCGTTATTATTATTATTATTATTATATTACGAAATTTTTTCCTCGTTTTTCCCGCCATTTTTTTTAAAAATTCTTTTCACCTTCGTGTCTTTTACCTCTTTTGATCTCGAAACAATGGCGGCGGCGGCGGCCGTTTTGCAGGCAGGGGCTCATGCTTTTATTTCGACAAACGAATGATTGTTTTTTAACGGTTGTTAAATCAACGTATTATTAATTAAATAGTTAGTTATTAGCTTATTACTTTGCAATTATCATCATCATCATCATCATCAAAAAGAAAAGCTGTCTGCTAAATTCGAGAATGTAATGGAAAATTAAAGAAACGTGTGTTGGATTTCGTAGATGAAAAAGAAAAAAAAATAGTTGTTGACGGAGAAGAGCGCCATAACCCCGCGTAATATCGATTCGATATATCGATAATCGATTCAAACACGAAACAAACACGTATTGTTATGCAAAACATGTTTCTATCTCTCTCTCTCTCACTCTCTCGGTAAAACTTATTAAAGAAATTGTTTGTTGTTATTCGTTTTGGATGAAAGAATCGAAATCGTACGTTCGTTCGTTCGTTCGTTTGTTACGTCGAACGCATTTTTTTTGTTGAATGGTTTTCGTGTCAGAAGACGTGACCGAACAAAAAATATTTATTTACACGTTCGTTAAATTATTTTTTTTTTGTCATGTATTTGAACGGTGTTGCTCTTTTAAAGTCTTTTATTTTGCGAATATCTCGAACCCGAAATTTCTTTTTCGTTCGAAATTAGCGAGGAGAGGAAACGAGTGAGGGGGTCGGGGGTGTGGGTGAGTGAGTGGGGGGAAAGCAAGTAAATTCCAGGTGGAATAACAAAATGAAATCTTTTTTTTTTTTTTTCGTTTTCTTGTGCAATAAATTTTATCTGTCTTGGTAAACAAGCCCATAATCATAGCCTTTAAATAAAGTTCCAAGGCCAAAGTCGTCGTCGTCGTCGGTTGTTATTTTTAAACAATCGATTTGACCCTCCCTACCACCACCACCACCGACACCAACACCAACACCCCCCACCTGCCACTACTACTCCTATTCGAAAGAAAAAATGGCGCACATTTCACGTTGTGTTAAATGTTATAAAAAAATAAAAATTTTCTTTAGTTTTTACATTCGCGAATGTGTGATTGATTGATTGTTTGTTTGTTTGTTTGTTTGCTGGCTGGATGAAAATTTTTTTCAATTTCGAGATATCGAACCGGTTTTAATCATCATCATCATCATCATCGTTAAGTTAAATTCTATGGTCGTCACGCCGGTTATGAATTACTCATCAAATCGTTCCAGTGCCAAAATAATAATTTTCCTCCTCCTCCTCTTCTTGTTGTTAATTAAAAGAAAAATTTTAAATTCCAACAAACGGAGCAAACGATCGGTCTTCATTAGGCGTTTTCCATTTTTTTTTTTTTTTTTTTTTTGTGAATGACCCATTTTGGTGACCCTGAGTTTAAGTTTAACCGGTTCGGCCTATTTGATGATTTAAAAAAAAAAAAAAAAAAAAAAAAAACGTTTTTTTTCCGGTTACAATTAATTTTCTTGTAAAAAAAAAAATTTGAAGTTCCCCTTCGGGACAGGATGAAAAACCTACGTCACGTAAAAAAAAAAAAAAAAACTTGGAACGAGAACAAGTTTTGCAAAAAAAAAAAAAAAATACGATTTCGGATGGAACCGCTTCCCCTTCCTCCTCCTCCTCCTCCCCCTCTCCTCTCTTTTTTTTTTTTGGAACCGTCGTTTTCGTACCTGATCGTTTTCTGGTAGCCAGAGGTGGAAACATGACGCGAACAAACATTTATTAATTTCTCGTATTAAGAAAAAGAAAAGAAAAATTACAACGCTGGAAGAAGAAGAAGAAGACTTCTTCTTCTTCTTCTTACGTCGCGATGTTAGGAAAAAAAAAAACTCGTTTTGGTCACACAGGTTGCAGGTTAGCCAATGTTTGAAAAAAAAAAAAAATTCTCGCGATAGTATTGCCAATTTAAAAAAAAAAAAATTTTCTTCCACGTAACGAAAATGAATCGAAAACAACGAAAAAGTTTAAAAGAAAATTTGATTTTTCCCCTACGATTTCGATTTCGATTTCGATTCGATTTCGATTCGATTCGATATTATCGAATAAATTTTTTGTTTGTAAAAAAAATTATTTCACACACGTGGCAGTAGAATAAGTT